AGTTGTACAGATGATTGTAGTACATTCATGAAAACGGGAAACGAAGAATATCATGTGCTGTTATGTAAAATTAATTGATATTTAATAAAACTTAATGATTATAAGATGTGCGTAAGCGTACACACAATATTTAAACACAAAATCGTGGTAGATTCTTTTCACATTTCTTTTAAATATTGCTGCAACATTATTAAAATAATGTTGCAAATCTATATTTTAACAATGTTTCTGAAGCATTGCATTGCAATATGCAATGTTGCAACTTTGCTGCAAGCTTCTGTGCTGTATAGGATAATATTTAAAATATTTTTATTTTAAATATAGTTTTTATTTATATTATTAATTTCTTTATTATGATATCATTAATTAACATGAAAGTAATACCATTTTTATATCAAGTATTACGTATACGTGTTTAATCATGCTATCATAACGATGCTATCATTAATTAATGTGACATTGATATCATTTTTATATCAAATATGATGTATGTGTTTGATATTAATTAACGGGATAGTAACATCATTTTTATCTCAGATTCGTGTAATTAATTAACTCGATTTTGATGTTATCACGTCAGTTAGTAATAATACCATAATATACACATGTGACATAAAATACGTGCTTGATATACAAGGTAATTCAAAACAACCATTGTCCTTGTAAAGACGTATTCTTGACTCAATTCTAAAACGATTTTTCCTTTACAAAAATTTTATCCAAAACTTAGTTTTCAAATTATAACGAAATAGTTAGCGAATTACGGGCCGCGTACGGAAGGTAGACAGAGACGGCGCAACTTACTATCCGCCGGCATGCGGTACGCGGGACCGTCGCGACGATCAGCTGACTACACGCGCGCATAAACATGCGTTTACATTCTCCCTCTCTCTCTTTTTTACACACACAGCACGCACGCACGCACGCATGCACAAAACTTTACCTTTTAAAGATTTGTCGACTTCTGCAGTTTCTCGAAAAAGATGAATTCCCATTTCGATAAATTGTGATTTCCACGTAATAAGTGTTTATTTTAATAAATTTTCGATAGTTTTAATGCAAACGTCGCAAGTTATCATTGACTAACAGATCAAATAATTAATTATAATTAATTCTTTTTTTTATAAATCGTGTCACTTCAACATTTTACACTTGATTCACATACAAAGTATTCATTTAAAGAAATCACGAGAAATCTACTAATGTATCTAATACTTAATATCCGTTACGTACTTTACAATCACTGTCGATTAATTATCCGTCCATTAAAAAATCACACAAAGAAAGAAACACACGGCGATTTATTAACTCACGATTCGTTCACTCGACGATAGCAAGTAATCAATTTTAATATCAAAAACTCATTTTAATATCAAATTTATCACTTAATTATTATTAATCCGTGTCGATTAATTATTCGTCGAACTTATAACAATATACTCAATTTTGCTAAACGCAGGTTTATCGTCGTTACTTGTTATACTTATGATAGAATTTAAATCATATTTAGTCCCGTTTATTATTATCTACGTTATAACAATCAAAATCTTTAAAACTGTTGTGAGGCAAAAGGCTTTGTAAGCAGCCAGTCATTATTAAATGCCAGGTCAGTTATTAAATGCAATTTCGAAACAATAGTGCCAACTGTTTTGTGTCAGAAAGGATGCAATTAAGTTCCCAACTGTATTTTCGCGTATGTAAATTATCACAATGTTTATTCAGATTATCACCATACACTGTAGTCTTTAAATTCTAATCGATATGTATATTTTTGCCGCGACGACGTCTAGGGGCTATGTGTGCCCTGAGTCGCGGACGCCACGTCTGTTAGACGAGTTCGCGTTATTTGTGCGGGTCGGCGTGA